CTTCTGGTCTGTGAAATACAATTAAGAAAATGAAAAGACAAGCCTCAGACTGGGAGAAAATATTTACAAAACACATCTGATAAAGGATTTGTATCCAAAATATACAAAGAACTCTTAAAACTCAACAATAAGAAAACAAAACATCCAATTTAAAAATGGATAAAATATATAATACATGGATAAAAAATCCAACTTAAAAATAGATGAAACAGACACCTCACCAAAGTTATAAGATGATAAATAAGCATATCAAAAGATGCTCAACATCATAAATCATTAAAACATTGCAAATTAAAACAATGATACACCACTACCTACCTATTAGAATGGCTAAAATCCAAAAAAACTGACAATTCCAAATGCTAGAGAGGATGCAGAGAAACAGAAATTCTCATTAATTGCTGGTGGGAATCCAAAACAGTATAGGCACTTGGAAGACAGTTTGGCAGTTTCTTACAAAACAGAACATACTCTTACCATACGATCCAGCAATCATGTTCCTAGGTATTCAAACATATGAGTTGAAAACTCATGTCTACACAAACCTGCACACAAAGCAGCTTTATTCACAATTGCCAAAAACTGGAAGCAAAGAAGATGATATTCAAAAGGTGAATAGATAACCAGACTGTGGCATATCCAATATATCCAAACAATGTAATATTTTTCAGGGCTAAAAATAAATGAGCTATCAAGCCACAAAAAGACAAGGAAGAATCTTAAATGTATATTGCTTAGGGAAAGAAGACAGTCTGAAAAAGCTACATACTGTGATTCCAAGTATATGACATTCTGGAAAAGGCAAAACTATAGACAGCAAAAAGATCAGTAGCTGCTAAAGGTTTGGGGGAAGAAGAGAGGGGTGAATAGGTGGTGCACAAGGGATTTTGCAGACAGTGAAATTATTTTGTGTGATTTTATAATGGATACATGACATTATGCATTATGGACAAAACTTCGTAGAATGTACAATACAAAGAATGAACCCTAATAGTAAACCATGGGCTTTAATTAATAATAATGTATGAATATTGGCTCATCAATTGTAACAAACTTACCACATTAATGCAAGATGTTAATAATAGGAGAAACTGACGGGAGGCAAGGAGTACATGGGAACTCGTTGTACTTTCAGCTCAATTTTCTGTAAACCTAAAACTGCTCTAAAAAATGTCTATTAATTTTTTTAAGGTTCATATATAATCAGGTAATTTTACTAAAAATAGACCATTGCCAGGAGAAATATCTCAATTCTAATGGCTAAAAATTTTGTACAAGATTACCAGTAAGGAAAAACAATGATTTCGCAGCAGACATCTCTTCCACAACACTACAATCTAAATTTTGAAGTGGCTTCCCTTGTGCAGAGCTCCCCTCACTTCCTTCTACATTGTGTGTCCCTCCTCAAAACTCCATATAGTGATAAAAGAAGCTGATATGGAAAGGGACTAACATAAAGATCCCTTTGAGAAATGAAAATATGAAGAAAATGAATCTTCCTTTAGGAAGCAAACAGTCTTTCATTAAAGGGAAACGGTGAAGCTGACACTTGGGCCTACATGTCCTTTGGGCAGTCACCACCATGTTGTAAATCTCCACCTTTCGGCTCATGAGAGAAGCTAGAGCATATGGTATATTCAGTATCACCCAGGGAGCTAAATGAGGAAGCTATTTGTTAATAAACCAAACTGAGTATAATTCATTTACTATTGCTGCTGTAATAAACTACTACAAACTTTGTGACTTTGAAAACAACACAAATTAGTAATCTTACAGTTATGGAGGTCAGAAGTCCAAAATGAGTCTGACTGAGCTAAAATCAAGGGCTGTTTTCACCTTGTGCAGGCCATAGGGGAGAATCTGTTTCCTTACCTTTTTCAATTTCTAGAGACTGCCCACTTTCTTTGGCTCATAGCCCCATTACTCCATCTTCAAAGCCAGCAGCATTGAGCAGAGTTCTTCTCATGATGCCATCTCTCTTTGTCCCTTTTCTGTCTCCCTCTTCCACTTTTAAGGAATCTTATGCTTACATTGGGCCCACCGGAACAATCTAGAATAAACTACCTAAGGTCAGCTGATTAGCAACCTTAACTCCACTCACAACCTTAATTCTCCTTTGCCATGCAGCCTAATATACTCACAGGTCCAGGGAATAGCACATAGACATATTTGGGAGGCCGTTATTCTGCCTACCACAGTATCAAAAGAAAATTAAATGTGGTTATGCTCCATTCTCTCTCTTAGGTGCAGTTATTTTCTATAAGTCAATGTTAAAAGCTTTCTTGCTGAAAAATTAAGTATCAACCTAAAATGCAAATCTTTGTCAAAAATTGAGACATACTCTGGGTAATTATGAAAAATCATAAAGCATAGTGGGGTGAGAGATTAATGATCATTCAACACATGTCATTAGTTAGTATTAACAATGTCAAGTATAGCTGAACTTAGAATTAGCTCTCTGAAGTTTCCAGCTAAAAATGCAGTCTTTGTTCTCTATGAAAGAAGGAAAAAGCCAGGGCAGATTTTGGTTTTAGACCCAACTGTCACAATTCACTGCATCCCTTCAGCAGAAGGGCACAACGCATCTGCTTCTGGGAGTTAATAAGCCTAAACACAATCTGAACTCTGTGTGCACTGGTAGCAGAGACCATATACGAGGAAGGGAATTGGATTAAGAGACTTTTTTATCAGATCAAGAGACCTCTTTATCACACACCTTTTTTTACCTTTTGAAATTTGTAACATATGCATATATTCTTATTCGAAAAGTATACTAATTTTAAAAAGAATATATTATGCAGCCCAGTCTACGTGGTGGATGGTGAAGGTTGAAGGGGCAAGCGTTCTTCTTCATCCCCTTTCTTTCAGGTTCCAGTGGAGAAAGAAGGCATTGGCCCTTCAGGGGGTCCCTCCTCTGGAATCACTGGTGCTTAGTGGCAACAGAGAAGCCCACAAGGCGGGAGGCTCTAAGGAATTTGACGTGAGAGAGACACCAAGATCAAACCTCCTGAATACCCAAAGACCCTCCCAACAAGGGAAAAGAGAGGAGGCCCAGCTATACCCAGATTTTAATAGACTGTGTTTACATATTTTGTAAATTGAGTAACATAAAACTGAATGAAAAAACACAAAGGTCAACAATTATAATCAAGAGAAGATGCCTAATTAAGAATAATAGAGCATTAACAATAGTACAAGCCTAAACCCTGTTTATAAAAACATTTTTTTAAAAAGACAAGACTTGGCTGAGGATGGAAGAAAATAAGACTATCAGTGTTCCAAATAACCAGAACAGAAAAAAGAAAACATAATCTAAGCAATGAAAGACAGGAAAAGGAAACAGAAAAGGCAAAATATTCATACCAGACAAAATGTCAAAGATCATTTAAAAGTTGTAAATTAGTTCAACTTTCCTATTAGATTACCAAAAAAAAAAAAAAATCCAATAGGGTCAAATAACTAAATCTAAACACTTAAAAACTAAGGCAGGCACACACAAGTTAGAAAATGCGCTAATGTATCCAAAAAGAAAACAACTGTGGTGATAGTAATAACAAAATATATTACAAGGTGAAAAAGGGAAAAGGTCCCATTAAGTTCACAATAAAGACATAATCGACATGAATATGAATCACATGGCTTCAAAATGTGTAAAGACTTAGTTAAAAATACAGGAAAACTTAAAAAGAAACACAATGGTAATAGACTTGAACCTATTCACCTGTATCACTTGGTATTCATTAGTTGAAAGGGACGTAAGCAACTTCTAAGCAAAAAGGAAGGATATCAGAAGCCGCAGAACTGACAGAAGACAGGGTCCCTTGCAGGCAGAAGTGCTAAGGCAGACAACTTGGATGTGCCCCGGATGGATTATCTACAAAGGCAAGATTAGTCAGCGTTCAGGGACACTGGTTGGCAGCAGCCTGAGGCTCTCAGGTGCACATGCTCCAGGCAAGTTCAAGTCTGCTCACAGGCAGTTCCTAAGCCAATCCCACCCTGCAGAGCTTCTCAATCACTTTTCTTTAGCCTGCAGCAGAACCCAAGTTCCAGGGGGGGGTCCCTTAGATGCCACTCTCCACATGTCTAAGTTCCCAAGCCCTTCAGCGTGAACTCTCCATGCTCTCCAACCAGATGCCAGGTAAGTGAAAATAAAAAAGATTTAACCACACCCAACTGTCATATATTTAAAATTTATATGATAGGGATTCATACTACTGATTCATTCCCGGAGCTAGCTTGTTCAACTTCAACAAATTTGAAAGACATACAAAATCAATACATTTTCTGATAAATTGTGTATTCTGAGCTACGCAATAAAATGGTTGCATCTGACCTTAAAACATGGGAGAAGTAGAAAGAAAATAAGAAAATATGTTTTATAAGATGAACACGGGCCAGCCCGGTGGCGCAGCAGTTAAGAGCGCACACTCCGCTTTGGTGGCCTGCGGTTCGCAGGTTCACATCCTGGCCGCACACCGATGCACCGCTTGTCAAGCCATGCTGTGGCAGGCGTCCCATATAAAGTAGAGGAAGATGGGCATGGATGTTAGCCCAGGGCCAGTCTTCCTCGGCAAAAAGAGGAGGATTGGCATCGGATGTTAGCTCAGGGCTGATCTTCCTCACACACACACACAAAAGATGAACACATTTCACCATCCCCCCTTCTCTGATCAACTGAATATGGTAATCTTGCCAAATATTTCCAAAAATTAACCCAAAAAATGACACCTGAAGAAGAGATTACTCACCTGAAAGAATTGGGGCAGACTAATGAAAACATAGTTTTCATAACTAATGAAAAACATAGTCCATTAATGATAAATTATAAGGTTGACAGCTGTAAGAATATATTTACACAACATTGTCTCCCTTTTATAGTCTCATGCTTTTAGTCAAACTGGGTATTTTTTTATTTCCCAACCTACCATTTGTCAAAGAAATTACAGAAACTAAAAGCTGATGGAGAAACACTTTAAATAAGAATTCATACTCCAAAGAAGTAAGAATCTTTCAACTTTTATTTCTAGGATACATTCATCTGGAACCTTTTTGTTTCTTTACAATTTTCCCCTAAGAGAAATGAATACAATAAAAATATAATCCAACTACCAGCAATGTTTGTAACCAGAAAAGAATTTAAAATCTCTGGCGTGATAATATAGGATTTTTTAAAAAATATAAACTTCTTACCAGAAATAAAGCCTGAATATTCTCTTTTTCTTTAAAAATATAGTTTTTCCTTCTTTGCTCTTCCATAAATCTTATAATCAACCATTTAGTTCTAAAGTCTATTTTTAAATTAGTAATTATAACACTATAGCACTGTTTTTTTCCTACTTTGTATCCTGTTCTGTACTGTGAATCAACCAATAATTGCTGAAGTGTTAAAAAAAAGAGATGTCATTAAGTTGTAGCAAGATTCTTCAAGATACACTGACTACTAAAAAATTAGAATTTCATTAACTGAAACCTACCTAACAAATTGCTTTTTATTATGTTTATGAAATTCGAAAATGTGTACAAAGCACTTTTGCAAACTGTAAAACTCTAATGGAAAACATTTTTTAAATCTGTTTTGACTAGAAAGGCTGCTGACAGGGATAGAACATCAGGGACAGAAGGCTCTGCGAAATCTTGTTCCTTTTTTCTGTAACTAGTTAGATTTGGGGAGGGGGAGATTATAAATTGCAAAGAAGTTGGGGGTATGGGTACAGGGATATCTTAAAAACATTGAGTGGTTTGCAGTGACATATGACTGCTTTTCTTAACTGAGAATAAAGACCAAGGGGCATAGTAACAGACCAATACTTCACACCAGACTGAGAAGTCAAATCATCTGTCTCCAACTAGGAACAAGAAATAAGAGAAGTGAGACAGTTTTTCCCCCACTTCTGACCAGTTCCTCTAAACAGAGCTTCATTACTTGAAGCCTAGTCCATTTAAAAATAGTATTCCAAAGCCCAACATAAATAGTCTGGGAATGGTTTCCTTTCCTTAGTTTAAGAAGATAATCAAAAAGCCTAATTATAAACATAAGTACAACATACCTGAACCAGAGTGACACTCTCCTATCTCTAAATAAACAGTATTATTCATGACAACTTTTTATGGTATTTTGTAGAATACAGGAAGTTAAGCAAAGAATAAAAAGTTTGATAACAAAAACAATCCCAGTGAGGGCTTCCTTCTTATTTGCTTAATGCAAAATAGACATGAGAAACCTCCTTCCATGAACTATTTTAACGAAACTAGATAGGCCTATGAAGACAGAGCCAGCAACGAAGAGCTGCAGAAACTAGGTCATCTGTACCTAGACACAAGTGACCAAAAGAAAGTATCCTCAATTATCTAAAGGATGAGTGAACTGACAAGAGAAAATGGGTCTGGGTTGCTGCATAAAAAGGCTTTGCTAACAGAGTTGAGCGAGTCAGGCATGCTGAAAGAGGCTGCCACATGGGGCTGTGGAGCCTCCTTTCCTAAAGCTGCTGAACCATCTTCCTGTGGCTCTCTGGGACCAGGCCTAGCTTAGCACAGAGAATGGGCTAAATGGCCTTATAACTTCTCTTTTGGCCCTCTGATGCACTTACTCTTTTCTTTAGCATCTTCTTTCCCCAAGAGAATATTCAGGCCAATTTTGTTTTTTCTGTATTCGTAAGAATTATAAACTAGCAATTTGGAATAACCCTAACTCTCACTGAGTATCTTATGTTAGCATATGATATCTTGAGTAATAAGAATGTAGACCTTAAATGCCATTTACATAAGAGTCAAACAAGCCCATGTCATACTTTGATGATTCCACATTAATAAAACTTAGCTATGATATGTAAAAAACTATTTTTGCCAAGGTTTTAACTATTGGACTTTAAACCAATTTCAATATCCTACGTAAAGGTCATTTATGTTGAAGTAACATGCCTTCGTGTTTTCTACATACAACGACAAAGTAAGATTTTTTAAAAATATACATATATTTTTAAACCAATTCACTCCCTTTTACAATCACACCTTCAGCCCAACATTCAAAATATAAACGCAGCTTTCAAAGAAAACAAAGTGGATCAAGTGACAGTATTATTTAAATGAAACAATAAAAGGTCAGCATTAGAACAGAAAATAAACACAGATTCATTGGAAATCTGTTCATATGCCTGATGTGTTCAGAAATGAACCTTACACAGAACAGATCCCACTGTGATATCAGACAACTCATTCCCTTCTCATTTTCTCATACCATGATGATGCCTCACTATTTTCACTGAGGTTTATACAGTAATTAGTTACCCTAACAGCAGAGATTAATATTAAATACACAGCCTATTCCACAATTGGCATATGCACCCAACAATGTTTTGTGCACTCCCTGAATTATAAAATAGTCCAATCTTTTAGGAGCATAAAAATGAAAGGGCTTAGATCTATTGATGTACATTGTCCATTGAATGTTACTAAGTTAAGACAGTAAGGTGGAAAAAAGGAATAGAAGGGTACAGTAAATTTTCGTTAAATAATTGCATTACATTAGACAGTATTGTCAATGACGTATTCATTTTAACCAGGTTATGAAAAAAAATTATCAGAATTTGTATCAATTTCTTAGAGAATCTAATAATAAAACATTAAATATACATATTTATTTGTATATTTATTTGAAGAATCTTTGGTAGCACTTGTGTTTCTTCCACATTATAGGACTTTCCAAAATAAACGTCAAAATTAATTTACTAATCAGCTTATAAAAGATAAATTATGGTACTATTCTTTTGGTTTTCCTATAAAATGTACTTGAACCTGACTATTAACTTACACTAATCATGCACTTAAACACAGTATCTGTTTAACTTATATACATATAAAATGAGAGACTAATACCAGAAAGAAATTAGACAGTAATGAGAATCAATGACAAAACATAACAATGACAACTGTTCTTAAGTAATTTATTTTTAAATTATAAGATTTACAATGCTTTGATTATGCAAAATAGCATAATGGAAATTAAACCAAATCAATAAACCAAAAGAGAAAGAAAACTTAGTTTTCTTGAATATCAGTACTTACACCATCATTAAAGTAGCTGATGTCCCAATCACGTCTTGTGTAGACATAAGTATAATAATTTCAAACATTTCACTTGTGGGTTTCTCATTTTCAACTTTTATGAAGTGTAATGTAATTTATTTCAAATCCTATTATACCTAGTGTTTATACTGCAACAGCAGCAAATCTCACATGTGCAATCAAATGTGGAACCGAGGCACAGCTTTTAGCCACAGAAAGAAATTATACACTGCATTCAGTACAGGAGAGGACATTATATTAACCAGAGCATAGAGTTTAGTACACTTATTGCAGGATTGGTATTTCTTCCCCTTTGAACTGAACGAGCTGAGCTTCTGAGGTGACATATTACTGCTGTGGATAGTAAGACTGCTGTGGGGGCTGAGGGAAGGGGTATGAAGGCTGCTGGGGTCCCGGGTATGGAGCCTGTCCAGGGCTCTGGTGATACACTGGCGGATATGGCATATTATACTGGCCGTATGCGTAAGGATTATAGCCCATGGGCATGGGCATTTGGCAATACCTGATGGGAAGAAGAAAACAAAAAAACTAGATCGGTAAATCAAATACTAGAAAATGAAACATATAATAAATTCTAAAACTAAGTTTTTTCAAGAAAGCCATTTTTCTCTATTTCTCGGTCTGTTAGAGAACAGTGAAGAGGAAAAAACAGCTGTTTCAAGGTACTTGTTAGAGAAAAGTGTTCCCATCCTGTTAACAGAAATGAAAGAATACCAAGTGTTTAATACTATCAAGAAAATAATGTTGTTGAAGGAAATAGGACTAAATATTTGCCTATTAACAAGGAATAAAAATGCAGACCCTTCCTTTTATGTGGCAATCTAAGCACATTCCTGTTTCACAAGATTTAATGTTCACTGTAATGCACATAAATTTACTGTTTACAAAGTTTTAATATTTGGAAGACAGAATGTACTTACTAAGTAAAGTTTGGAGCACGTATTAAAAGGTAGTCAAATGTCTGGATTTTTAAGATTAAAAAATTATCACAAAGAAAGCTGATCTTTAAGAAACTACATGCCATAATTAGATAGATTTCTGTTTAACAGTTTATCAGAATGCCAACATTTCAAAGTACAGGTATGTAAACAAAGCCTTATCAGTCTTGCTATGCTAAGCTCAGAAAAGGCACTTATCCGCTTATGACCTAAATAAAGACAACCAAGGAAACACATTCTGAATTCCAGAAGAGATGTATTTAATTAATACCAATATATAAAAACTAAAAACATAAATAAGCCTGGGAAGTGGCTATTCAACTACTCAAATAAGTGACTATAACTATTCTTATTTCTGTGTAAGCTGACAGTGCAGCTTACTCATGACACCTCCATTCAGAGAAGGGGTGACCTTGTTTTTAAAAGGTTAAACAGAGCTACAAACATTAGGCAATTCATTGGGGTACACAAAGTTTCAGCCTTACCCGGCATATCCTGGATAGGTAGGATATGGGGGTCCCTGGGCCTGTGGAGGCGGAGCTGAACCAGGAGTTTGTGATGGAGCTGCTGCAGCGCTCCCAGTCCCCACTGGAGCTGGAGCAGAAGCAGAAGGAGCTCGATTTGCAGGAAGCACAGGAGGTGGAGGCCGGGCTGGAGGCTGGGGCTTACTCGGCTATAAGAAAAAGTCAGCATTGACTACAAAACGTTTCATGTTTCTGTCAAATTACTATTAATTAAAATAAATGAGGGCAAATGAGAAACTTGAGAATCCACCCAAACATATTTCCAATTCCCATTCTTAACTTTTGGTTTATTACTCTAGAACTGTATCACAGTTGAGGAATAATTCTCCAATTTGTGGACACGCCATAGCCACTGCTTTTTTCCTGATGCCTAATATTTAACCATGTACTGCACGTTACTGGTCCCATCAATGGTTAGACATTTGAGGTGGGAGGAAAGAGCAGCTCAGATACAATTTATTCCTGTAATCTCCTCCTGGCCCCACTGTTTTTTATATGAAAATTTTAAAACACCAGAAAACTTAAAAGAATAGTATACTAAACAACCACATATATGTCAATTAAATTTACTAACTATTAACATTTGGCCATATTTGCTTTATGTATAGCTATATCCATATATTTATCTATCTATATATTGGCAGAACCATTTGAAAGTAAATTGCAAACTTCATGACACCAGCCCTAAAGACTTCAGCATAGGGCCGGCCCTGTGGCTTGGTGGTTAAGTGCGCGCGCTGCGATGCTGGTGGCCCGGGTTCGGATCCCGGGTGCGCATCGAGGCA